ATACCGCGAGGTCCATGCGTTCTTTGTACCTAGTTAATAAACAAACGAAATGATAAAAAANAAAAAAAAAAAAAAAAAAAAATCTACGCTTATGGAGCCAAAGGCTATGAAGCGGCACTACATACATCAGGGTACTCTCAAGTACCAGGGCTATGGATCCGCCTCTTACTACATGTAAGTGTTATCTTTTCGTTGGGCACCCCGGCCACAGCGCAAACAACAAAATAAAGTCCTCCTCCCCACCTAAAGCCTCGCAAATAAAGGAAATAAAAAGTAATAAAACCTAAGTAGCCCTCCTCCTCCTATCAGTTCCTGCCTGGTGTGCGTGTAGGTAGGTGGGGCAATCCTTAGAGGGAGCCAGGTGATTGTTACCACAGTTGAGGCAGAGAATAGTGGTGTGAAGGCATGGTTTTCCCTTGGTAGGACAGTGTGACCTTCTGCATGTATGGAGGTGGGCTAGGTGTTCCTGACAACATATCGCGCAGTGTGGGGTTTTGGTGCATTGGTTTCGGTGGTGGCCAAACTCTAAGCATCTGGAGCATTGAGTGTCAGGACCAAAGGTGTGGTAACGTTGCACCTTAAATTTCCTGCCAAAGAGAGAGAGGCCTCTACTGAGGGCTTTGTTTGTAGGGTCTTTGCCGGCAATCGTGAGGACCATAGCTGATGCAGCTTTGTCCTTGCGTTGGGCTTTAGTGGTGAGCCATCTAGGAGGGCGGGGGAGGTGGGTGCCAGGGTTGAAGGCTTCAATCTCTGCCTGGACTGTGGGGAAAGTGGTGGTGGTTGGGATGCCGTGTATGATGACCTTGTGCCAGACTTCATCCTTTCTGAGGCCAGACACGGCAGGAATGGTAGCTCCAATAGCTTCCTCAATAACCAAGCCACGGTTTTTGAGGACAGTGGAGGCAGGAGTGTTATCCTGGGTGATGAGGAGGACATGATGGTTAGGCGTGAACTCAATGGTGGAGATAACTTGTTTTTTGATAGCTGTGTTAACAGCATCGCGAATGTGGAGGTGGTTGGTGTCATCTGAGTGGGCAGTGCCGTCTCTTTCAATAACAATAGTACGGTCGCGTTTGGTCAAAACTTTAGCTGGTGGAGTTTTGTTTGGTGTGGTTGTAGAGGGGCGGGCAGGTAGTGTTTTGGCTGTCCTCTGGGCCCAGGTTTGCTGAGGTGGGGGGTTTGGTAGTGTTGGGGGTGGGGGAGCAGGGGTGGAGGCTTGCTGTTAAAGCTGTTCTTGTAGGTGTGAGACTTGTTGGTTGAGCTTGTCAATTTGCCCTTTCAAGACTGCAGTGTCACTGCTGTGCCTTTGCTGGACAATGCTGAGGTGGTTGATAAGTGATTGGAAGGAGTCCTCAAGATAGCTGACTCGTAGTTTGGTGCAGAGGTTGGTGTCTCTGTCAGGATTGTTTGGTTCCCATGGGGACCACTAAGCAGAGAAAGGTGTGGGTTGGTTTGGAGCAGTAGGAGTCGAGACTGTATCGACAGGAGAAGGAATGTCTTCATCTATTTGGGTGTCTCCTGGCGTGGTTGTAGCTGGGGTACGCTGGTAGGGTTGAAATGGGTGTGCCACGGGGTTGGCAGCACCCCTGCCTGTGCCTCTAGCCCGTGAAGGCATCAGAGGTGATGGGAGAAGGACTCAGTTGATAAAAGATGATGGGAAACAAATAATAGAGGATGATTTGTTGATGAAAAGTCTTTAAAATGGGTGGGGAAGCGTGAAGATTTGGTTGTTGACCAATGAGGTGGGGGCTCGGCGAAAATCTTGGTGTGGTTTTTTCTTTTGCTGTGGTTGTAACGGCAACGGAGTCTCATGTAGTTTGTAGGTAGAAGTCTAAGATATGTCCCTCTGAGAGGAGGAGGAGTATGGTCTAACTGGTGGAAGCACTGGGACTCCGTTGCCATTACAAACACAGCAAAAGAAAACACCACACCAACTTTTTGGCCGCGCCCCCACCTCATTGGTCAACAACCAAATCTTCATGCTTTCCACCCACTTTACAGACTTTTCACCAACAAATCAATCTCTAGTATTTGTTTTCCATCACCTTTCATCAACTGAGTCCTTCTCCCACCACCTCTGATGCCTCCACAGGCTAGAGGCAGAGGCAGGGGTGCTGCCAACCCCTTGGCACATCCATTCCAACCCCACCAGAACACCCCAACTCAACCCTCGCCTGGAGACACCCATATGGAAGAAGAAGTTCCTTCTCTGGTGGATACAGTCCAGCCTCCTGCTACTCCAAACCTGCCCATGCCTGGCTCTGTTCAGTGGTCCCCATGGGAACCAAGCAATCCTGCCAGAGGCACCCCCCTCTTCACCAGCCTCCCAGTCAACTACCTGGAGGACTCCTTTCAATCACTCATCAACCACCTTGGGATTGTCCAGCAAAGACACATCAGTGATACTGCTGCCTTGAAAGAACAAATCCATGAGCTAAACCAACAAAATTCAGCCCTCCAACAACAGCTTTGACAACAATCCTCCACCCCGGCTCCACCACCCTCCACAGCGCCAAACCCCCCACCACAACAAACCTGGGCCCAGAGAACAGCCAAATCTCTCCCAGTTCGTCCCCTGACCACTATACCAAATAAGACTTCACCGGCTGAAGTTTGGACAAACCGCGATCGTACTATTGTTATTGAAAGAGATGGCCCTGCCCTCCCTGATGACACCAACCACCTCCTCATTCGCAGGGCTGTCAACACAGCCATCAAAAAGCAGCTAATCACCACTATTGACTTCATGCCTGACAACAGTGTCCTCCTCATCACTAACGATAACACACCTGCTTCCATTGTCCTCAAGACTCATCGCTTTGTTATTGAGGAAGCTATTAGAGCTACCATTCCTGCCGCCTGAGGCCTCAGAAAAGATGATGTCTGGAACAAGGTCATCATTCATGGCATCCCTACCACCTCTAGCTTCTCCACAGTCCAGGAAGAGATTGAACCCTTCAACCCTGGCACCCACCTCCCACACCCTCCTAGATGGCTCACCACTGAAGCCCAACACCAGACCAAAGCTGCATCAGCTATGGTTCTCATGGTTGCCGGCAAAGACTCCACAGCTAAAGCCCTCCGCAGTGGCCTCTCACTCTTTGGCAGGGAGTTCAAGGTGCAACGCTATCTCACCTTTGGTCCTGACACTCAATGCTCCAGATGGTTGCAGTTTGGATACCACCCAACCCAATGCACCAAAACCACCCACTGCGCGATCTGTTCTCAGGAACACCCAGCCCACCTCCAGACTTGCAGAAGATCAGACTGCCCTACCAAGGGCGAACCATGTCTTCATATAACAATCCGGTTCCTCAACTGTGGCAACGACCACCTGGCTACCTCAGACTCCGTTGCCGTTACAACCCCAGCGAAAGAAAAAACCACACCGCACATCTCCTATTAATAAATTACACCCAACATTTCTCCTTTACAATAAGCTTTGCTTTACGACAGTAGAGTCTGTTACTTGTTCTTCTGCTACTTGTTTTCTTGGGATTGTTCCCCTTTTATTCCCTTGCCTAGCCATCATGGCAGGCTCTGGTTTTACTCCCAGCCTTGCTCCTCCGATAGTGGTGTCATATTGTTTTCCCCCTACTGGCATGCCCGTCAATGACCATCATTGTGCGGTGCCAGAACACAACTGTGGAATTTGAATCTACACTTGCCGAGAAAGTCGGGCAAATCGGATTCACTCTTACCTCTGAGATTCAGTTTGTGGTTAACTCAGTGCTGGTAGCCTTTGGCTGTCCTGATTGCCGTATCCTCTGCGATGATTCATTTGCCCTCCTTATACGGCAACAGACCCCTTCTGGTTCCTCCTCATATTCCCCCAGCCAGACTTCTGGTACACAGGGGACCGCCTCTCTTGCAGAGGATCACCTTGCTGCTTGCCCTTCCGGCACCACATTGGCATCACCAAAGTTGCCGGCTACCCGCAGCATCACGGAAACTGGCCACCGCCGGTTCCTGAAAGGCCCTACAAAGGTCTCTTGGGCAGATGACATCGAGAGCTCCCCACGAGATGTCTCAATAGGACTAGGGGGTGGTCAGACTACTGAAGGAAATGGGATCGGAGATAGTAATCATGCTTCCCTGGGTCCCCAAGAGGAGGATAAGGTTGCTTTGGTCGGTAATGGAACATTGTCTATGGACTACGGCTCCATGCCTCCGCTCCCGTCCACCTTGGCCGAAACTGTGTGTGTTTCTCCATCCTCTCCTCATGATATGCCGGGGGTGGTATCCACTTTGACCACGGCTGAGGTGGACATGTTAGAAGGGTTAGAGGAGATGGAATATGGGCAGGTAGTTCCTGCAATTGGCAGTGAGGATGGTGATGCCATGGACATGGCTATGCAGTTGCGCAGGAGCTGCACAATGGAGCACAATGAGATGGGAGATGGTATTTATGCCTCCTCCTTCTCCCCACTAGCTGAGGGCTGCCCATACTCATCGAGTGACAAGTACGTTCCCATTGTGGAACAGACTATGAACATTGACAGGAAGGGTAAATACTTGCGATTTACTGAGGTGGGCTTGGACATGGCTTTTGACAAGTCTGTTCTAAATAACTTGGACCACACAGTGCATGCCCTTGGGAACCATGTGGACCGCTTGGAATCCCGTATTTGTGAGTTGGAAGATGAGAGAGATACCGCTATTAGGGCTGCTGGCCAACACCAGGCTACTGGAAGTAGACGCAGGGTCAAAACGCCTGCCCCTGCCGCTCTGACTGCCTCTACTCCTTTAGTTTCCACTGTCCCCGCCCTGGCACCTGCAGTGGGTACTTCAAGGCCGCCGCCAGCAGCTGTGTTAGCTGCAAAAACACGCCACGCAACCTTGGGTCAGCTGGCTCTTCCAAACAAACCAGTTATTCCAATCCAACCTATTGTTACCCCACAGACATCGGACATCCCACTGCTACCGACAAATCCCAGCTTTGCTATGGCTGCTTCGGCGGCTGCAGGGGAAAAGGAGTTTACCTTGGTACAGCGATGCAGGCTCAAATCCCCTCCCCCTATCCAACATGTTACTAAACGGGAACACCATGTGACTGTCCGCTTTGACTCACGTGAATCCAAGGTCTGCCTGCCCACTGGGGTTAATACAGAAATGATCAAGAATGCCTTAAACAAGGTTCTTGTGTCCTCGGCCTCCCATGCCCGATTTGCCTCTTGTATTCAACACCCCATCTCTGGCGACCTCCTCCTATGCCTTGCTCAACACTCCTCAACTGCAGTCTGGGGATTTGTAGCAGCAATGGACTGTACCTTGATGGAGCTTAAACTCCACTCATTTACATTTTGTCAGGATACTAAGAAGATTAAGGTACTGGCCTCCAATATCCCCTTCTCTCCCTCCGGTGTTGGTACAACTTGGGAGGTAGAAGACTGGCAAGGTGATAGTGCCTGTGATGATCTGTTACGAGATATTGAATTGTCCAATCCTGGTATCCATATTGTTGGCCGGCCCCACTGGGTTGGTAGTCTGGCTGGGCACAAGTCCCACCAACACAGTTCAGGCTCTGTTGTGCTCACGGTCGAGCTCTCCCCAGGGGTTAAGTCAGCCGTAGACTGCTCATCAGTGATGATCTACTCACGGCGTCGTCCTCTTCATGTCTGGGTGGAAATTAAATCCAACTCCATCTGTCACCATTGTTTAGGGATTGGGCATGTTGCAGTGATGTGCCGTGCCCCAGCTGCATGCAAGTACTGTGAGGGGAATCACATTTCAACTGAGCATACTTGCTTGATACGTGGGTGTCCAGCTGGTAAAGGGTCTCTTTGCTCTCACGTAAAGTTGGAGTGCCGTCTCTGCACCGGTGTGGGTCACGTGACTGGGGACCCGGCCTGTCCTGACATCCGACGGCCCTCCCGCGCTAGCTCAACTTCCTCTACTTCTTCTGACAAGGGGCTCTCTGAGGAGACAACCATAGCGGAGATTACAGACCAGTCAGCACAGAAGCTGACCAAGTCTGCCCAGTCCAAATCAGTGGATAAGGAGAACGCTAAGACGGCAGTACTGACTGCATCCTCCCTGAAGGCCACTGGGTCTCATTCCAATTCCTGATAATATGTTGCTCAAGTTAGTGGTACAGAATGTGGGGAGGAGTAGAAGGAACCGGTTATTAGTATTGGAGTTATTTTCTTTTGCTGATGTTTTTGTTTTATTGGAGCCCCCAGTGGGTTCGGACGGTAATATATTAGCTCATGAGGAGCGGAGTGTTGAGATGGTTTCATTTGTTCCGGGGAGTGGTGTGTGTGTATATCTGCGGTGTGAGTTGGTAGGCATGGTGGAGGTTGTAAGACACTCGAAGACATGCTGTGTATTACGTTGTAGAGAAGGGGATGGTTCCATACTCTTTGCGGGTGTTTATGCCCCGCCTAAGCTCACCAGGGTTGAGATGGCTGCAGTGCTGAGTGTATTGTCCAATGTGGATGTGTTGACAGGTGATTTCAATGCAAGACATCCACGGCTTTCATTGGATCGTACTGATAGGAGCTATGGTTCTGTCTTGGCGCTGTTGGAATTCACTGACAGGCATGGGTTTGAGATATTCCAGGCCACTGGCCCAACATTCCGGAACATATCAGCCATTGACTTTACATTCTACCGCAGGTGCAGGCTCTGGCACAGGTATGATGACCGTGTGGGTCTCGAACACATGGCTCAGGTTCTCTCATTGGACTGCCCATTAGTTGGGTCCCTGGTACCACCACGGATTCCTTGGAGACGGTTGGACTGGGAAAAGATGGCTTCCACAATTGATAGGTTCCGGGATGTACCACCAAGTGAGTGGTGGCCCTCTCTCCGCCATGCTGTTGATGCGGTCCCTCGCCCTGCCAGGTGCAAATACAAAAGTGGCTGGTGGAATGAGCAGCTAAAGAACATGCAGTCGCATGTCCCCCGGGTGCGCTGTAATGGTCCACACGAGGCCTATGTGACCGCCCGACAGGTTTACCGGGCTATGATGGCTGAGAGTCGGAATTGACTAGTGTCCAAGGCTTATGACGATGCGCTTGACGCTGACATGTTCCGGATAATTGATAAACTGGAGCTGCGGCGGAAAATGCCCCCGCTTGACTGTGGGGATGAGGTATATGTCACATCGCATGCTGCTATGTCAGACTTGATCAGTCTACAAAATGCGCGTCCTGGCCTCCCTCACAATGGCACTTCCTTCCCTGGTAATACTATTATATTCCCGGAGTTATCCACCAATGAGATTAGGGACACCCTTAAATCCTCTCCTGCCGATACCTCACCAGGCTTGGATGAGATGACCTATAGACTACTCCGCCGGTACCGCCAGAGACAGCCAGAGTGCTTTGACAGGATGGTGGAACACTCCTTGCGTGTGGACGATAATGCCTTCCATATTGGCCACGTTGTCCTAATACAGAAGGCCAACAAACCACGATATGATATTGCTAAGTCCTGGCGCATGATCACTCTGCTCCCAGTTTTTGCCAAGGGGTTGGAGAGAGTGGTGCCCCCTCGCTTGGCATCGGCAATCGATTTGGAGGATACACAGTTTGGTAGCCGGAAGCGTCGCGGGTGCCATGATGCCATGGCTGTTGTATTGGGATTTTTGAGATACAACTCAAGCTACCATACAGCATTGCTCTCAGGGGAGATTGAGGGTGGCTTTGACCACGTGGATAAAGACCTGCTCGTACAGTTTTTGGCTGCACGAGGCGGTCCCAGGTACCTGATTGTATGAGGCAAGGGCTGGTGGTGCCTCAGCCGACGGCTGCAGTTCAGGTTCAATGATAGGTTATCACGTGATTACCACGTGACCTGTGGGATACCACAGGGATCGCTGCTCTCCCCGTTTTTGTTTGCCGTTTGTGTGGCCGATATTTTGCGTCCCCAGCCGTGCTGCTCCCCATCAGTGCAGGTCCTGCTGGTCTCTTATCTTGATGATCTTGCAATTCTGGCTGCTACTGATTCCCGGGTCATGACATGTAGGGTCTTGTCAAAGGTGAGACTTGGTTGCCGTTACAACCACAGCGAAAGAAAAAACCACACCAAGTTTTTCGCCAAGCCCCTACCTCATTGGTCAACAACGAAATCTTCACGCTTCCCCACCCATTTTACAGACTTTTCATCAACAAATCATCCTCTATTATTTGTTTCCCATCACCTTTTATCAACTGACTCCTTCACCCATCACCTCTGATGCCTCCACGGGCTAGAGGCAGAGGCAGAAGTGCTGCCAACCCCTTGGCATACCCATTTCAACCCCCCCAGAGTACCCCAGCTCCAACCACGCCTGGAGACACCCAAATGGATGAAGACATTCCTTCTCCTGTGGATACAGTCTAGCCTTCCGCTGCTCCAAACCAACCCAGACCTGGCTCTGCTCAGTGGTCCCCATGGGAACCTAACAATCCTGACAGAGACACCAACCTCTGCACCAAACTACGAGTCAACTATCTTGAGGACTCCTTCCAATGGCTTATCAACCACCTCAGCATTGTGCAGCAAAGGCACATCAGTGACACTGCAGTCTTGAAAGGGCAAATTGACGAGCTCAACCAACAAGTCTCACACCTACAAGAACAGCTTCAACAGCAAGCCTCCACCCCAGCTCCCCCTCCCCCAACACTACCAAACCCCCCACCTCAACAAACCTGGGCCCAGAGGACAGCCAAAACACTCCCTGCCCGCCCCTCTACAACCACACCAAACAAAACTCCACCAGCTGAAGTTTTGACCAAACGTGACCATACCATTGTTATTGAAAGAGACGGCACTGCCCTCCCAGATGACACCAACCACCTGCACATTCGCGATGGTGTTAACACAGCTATCAAAAAACAACTTATCTCCACCATTGAGTTCACGCCTATCCATCATGTCCTCCTCATCACCAAGGATAACACTCCTGCCTCCACTGTCCTCAAGAACCATCGCTTTGTTATTGAGGAAGCTATTAGAGCTACCATTCCTGCCGTGTCTGGCCTCAGAAAAGATGAAGTCTGGTACAAGGTCATCATACATGGCATCCCAACCACCACCACTTTCACCACAGTCCAGGCAGTGATTGAAGCCTTCAACCCTGGCACCCACCTTCTCGGCCCTCCTAGATGGTTCACCACTGAAGCCCAACACAAGAACAAAGCTGGATCAGCTATGGTGCTCACGATTTTCGGCAAAGACCCTACAGACAAAGCCCTCAGCAGAGGCGTCTCCCTCTTTGGCAGGAAATTTAAGGTGCAACATTACCTCACCTTTGGTCCTGACACTCAATGCTCCAGATGCTTGGAGTTTGGCCACCACCCAACCCAATGCACCAAAACCCCACACTGCGCGATATGTTCTCAGCAACACCCCCGCCCACCTCCACACTTGCGGAAGGTCAGACTGTCCTACCAAGGGCAAACCATGCCTTCACACCACTATTCTCTGCCTCAACTGTGGCAACAATCACCTGGCTACCTCCCCCAACCTGATATAGACAGTTATCTCTCACTGAACAAATTGAAGACACAGATCAAACAGTCTGCCCTTAAAGCATGGCACCAGTACTGGATACAGTTACAACCAGCTAAACAGGGCAGACATTATAGGTCCATCCACTTCCACCTACCTTCTCTGCATCCTCCACCACACTTCTTTCAACTCCACAGACCACAACTTGCAACTGTTACCCAACTTAGACTTGGGCATGGCTACTTCAATTCTTATCTTAGCAGATTGGATGAGAATGTCAGTGACAGATGCAGTTGTAGGAAAAGGACACCAGCACCAGAGACAGCAGAACACCTGATCCTATACTGCAGCAGATACCAACAGCATAGACACCTTTTAAAATCAGTTGCTCAAAACTTCCACCTCCCAGATGTGCTTGGATCTAAGACTGGACTGCTGGCTTTAGGAGAGTTTGTGAGAAAGAGTTGGGTTGGAACTAGGAAAGGCTACCTTGGACAAGTGCCTGAGTGTGAGGGCTCTGGCAATGAAAGTAGTGGGGTGGAGGATAGAAATTGGGAAGAGGAGGAAGGAGGATTGGGATATGAATGGGAGGAGACAGAGGTGGAGAGATGGAGAGAATGGAGGATGGCAGCAGGCCAGGTGGAGGAATAGAATAAAATAGGATGGCAGAAGGCACAGTGAACAGGGGACACAATAATGGAGGAGATGGAATTAGGGACCAGTAGTGGGAAGCACTACAATCATGTACTTTGACAGCTTCATAGCCTCTGGCTCCATAAGCTTAATGACATATAATAATAACCTGGCTACCTCTAATGATTGTCCCACCTACCTACACGCACACCAGGCAGCAACTGATAGGAGGAGCAGGGCTGCTTAGGTTTTATTACTTTGTATTTCCTTTATTTGTTAGCCTTTAGGCGTGGAGGAGCACTTTATTTTGTTGTTTGCACTTTGGCCGGGGTGCTCAACGAAAAGATGACACTATCATGTAGTAAGAGACGGATCCATAGCCCTGGTACTTGAGAGTACCCTGATGTATGTAGTGCCGCTTCATAGCCTTGGGCTCCATAAGCGAGTATTTTTTTTTTTTTTTTTTTTTTTTTTTTTTTAATTCTATTTGTTTATTGATTGTGGCTCAAAAACGTACATGGACCTCGCGGT